ACCTCATCCTTAAGAAGAGTTGTAAGCAGAGGAAATTATTCTCTATCAAGTAGCGTCACTGCCACTTCTGATCTGTTCCCTCACTCTGCCCTTGTATTGCTCTGCTGAGCCAGAAATAACATGAGTGTCATGGTCCCACACTGCTGCAAGAATTCCTTTGTGCTGAAGAACTCCTGAAACTGGCTAGACTGGCTTTTGGACAAATAGACAAAAGGGGAGTGGCACAAGGTGTCCTAGGAATCTATCTACAACCAAAGAGCCCACAGCCAATGTATTACCATGCTTTGGTCACAGTTATGTAGGAAAATGTCATAAAAAGAAAAAGTTCTCTCTCACTCCGAGATTTTGGCAAAAATAATGATTAGTTTCGTTCCAGTTATGAAGAATATTATATGTGTAAACAGAGAGTGACTTTTTGCAGTGTGGTACAGAGCAAGAGATTTCTCCTCCCCCAGAAGAATACTTTGGGTAAAGCAATTGTCATTTTACTGCCCTTTAAGCTTCTCTGTAACAAGAACAAAACGAGTACAAAAGCGTACACCTTATAAAGAGGCCTAAGTCATAAATGTAGGTGACCAGAATGCTTTGTCACTTTCAAGAAGGGTGTCTGATTTCAAACTCTAATGCCATTTCCTCTCCTTTGTTTTCTACCTGGTTTGGAAAGTGGATAGAAAGGGCAGTCCTTACAACGGCTCTCCTTCAGAAAAGGTACTAAGAACAGGAGAAGATACAGCCACAGAGTGTAGTTTTTACCACTAGGACCCATTGCTGTGCCCACTTCCCAGCCGTATCATCCTCCCCTTTTATTTCTTCATTTTACTGATACCTGTATTCTACTGTCTTTAGCCAGTTCAGTCATCATCTGTCTGGAGGGTAAGTGGGAGAGAGAGGGGAATCGGGGATATTCTTTTTAGTGGCTTTGTTTGAGGGAAACTTGCCATATGCACCAACTAGAATATGCCTGCTACTTCCCCAAGCTTTTATTACCAAACGGTTATGACTTATTCACAGCTAACTACAGAACCACTTGTCATCAATTTCAATTTGGATGAAACATTTTATTTCACTTGAAGGGACTCCCAGTGTCCCAGTCAAAGGTATCAAATAGGAACATGGTAATTTATTAAGTTTTATTTCTTTCTTAGCAGATCATTCACAACTAATGTTTCACATTGATAGGATTGTCTAAGAGAAATGCACCATTTCTTCTCTTTTTTTATTGCATTTTTAAAGCATACTGGAGAAGATGCTGGAATCCTACAATAGAATGAAATAATTTGTAAAAGGTGATAAGTTGCCCAACCAAGTATAATTTATGGTCATTTGTCTACGCATTATTGAACACATCTTAATATTCTGACATGGCTTGTTTATTCACAGTGTTTTCAATAGTTTTAGAATGTATAAAAGCCTTTCCAGGAATAACTG